TTCTAGTTCCTGTCCTGGTTCTGCTTGTTCTGGTTCTAGTTCTGGTTCCTGTCCTGGTTCTGGTTCTGCTTGTTCTGGTTCAGGTTCTGGTTCTGCTTGTTATGGTTGTAGTTGTGGTTCAGGTTCTGGTTGTAGTTTATGTCCTGGGTCTGGTTGTAGTTCTGGGTCAGGTTTTGGTTGTAGTTCCTATCCTGGTTCAGGTTCTGGTAGTAGTTCCTGTCCTGGTTCTAGCTCTGGTTCAGGTTCTGGTTGTAGTTCCTGTCCTGGTTTTGGGTTAGGGTTCTGGTTCTGCTGCTGGGGGGGAAACATCTGAGGAAACTGGACCAGAAGAAGAAGAGCTGGGCCTGAAAAACTCTGTCTGTTGTCTCTCTCTAGTTCTGGTAATGCTACAGGTTAGGGTTAGGGTTCTGGTTCAGCTGGTTCCACTTATGGTTCTGGTTCTACTTTTGGTCCTGGTTCTGCTACAGATCCTGGTTCAGTTTCTGGTCTCCTTACCTCCTCTCCTCTTTGAAGTACAGCACGGGCTTCCTCCTGGATGAGTACATCATGTTTGTGGTCTCGCGGCCGGACTCGGATCAGCCGTTTGGTTCGGTTCGGTTCTCGGGGGCCCCGGTTCGTCCTCCGGCCCTCATTAGGGGGTCCGGACGGAGCCCCGACTGGGTCTCTGCTCACCTCTCGTTAAATCCATAACGGTTCCTGTCCGTTAGCAGCGCTAGCTAGCAGGATGACACGTAGCCTGTAGCGGTTCCCCCTTGCGCGCGCCCCGGGTGCTCGCGCACCGACCAACGGTCCTTTTTTCCGGTTCCGTTAGCGGCCGTTTGTAACGGAAAGTCCATAAATGCTTCAGTCTGTCATTTCGTCAAATTTTAAGCACGAAAAACTGACAGAGGAAGTCATTTAAGCTAATTAAGCCTCCGAAAACACCAAAGGAGCCGTTTGACGCCGGGTGCCACCCGTTTATGAGTCCGACCGGAACAGTGGTTATAAGCTTCAAAGGTTCCTAGTTCCTGTGTTTTGATTATTGTTAGAGAAACTGAGTAAATAGATAATATGTTTAATCTGAACGTAGTTGGGAGCATAATTAATTGGTTTAAGATTAAGCAATGATTGTTTAAATTCCTGAAAAAGTACATGTGGAAATTACCCAAAAAACACAAATAAAGAATGGTAGAATTATTTTAAATAAAAAAATATGAAGGATTCAACTAATACAATATTTACTTAATATAAATATTCAGAATATGAATATATAGATGCAAAGAACTCATTAATACAAAGAAATGTGTGTGTATCTAAAAAATAATAAAACATTGTTTAGAATTATATTAAAAATATATGAATATGTAGAATTATGTTAAAGTGAACTTGTTTTAAAGAATTTCCTGTTATAAATGTTTTTCTTTTTTCATTTGTTTGGTGAAAAAATACTCGGTCGACTTTATGATTCTCATTTATTTGTCTTGAGTAAAAAATGTAAAAGCTTATCCACTTGTCAGATTTTACTCCAACTAGCAGGAATTCTTCACATGTGGTTCATCAAACGGCCTTTCTTTTATTTCTTTTTCTGTCAGATTTCTTCCGGGTTCCTGGTCCTGTTATTACTGCTGTCACACAAACACCAGAAATCTGGATCCATTTCAGTCCGTTTTATTCAACCGAGTCTGGAAACACGTCGTTAAAGATCTCACAAATCAACCGGCTGTGATTTCAGTTGGAAAACAAAAACAAAACAAAACAAAACCAGCAAACAGCCCGGCGGCGTCTCCGGTGGCCAGTAACATAAAGAAGAACCTGAAGAGAGACGCCGCCGGGGGGGGGGGGGCGGGCACCGAACACACACACACACACGATCGCACACACACACACACACACACACACAACAACAAGAGTAAACAGGAGGCGTTTTCCAGCCTCAACAAACAGCTTCTGACCCCGAAAGCAGCCTATCAGCTGCTGGTTTACTGAAGACTCAGTAGACACACACACACACACACACACACACACACACACACAGACTCCCAAACACACACACACACACACACACACACACACA